TGCGGTAACTTTGTTGGTCAAATCAGTAAGGCGGTGGAACAAGCCAGGAGGTGGAAAGAGCCTTGCATGCACTGAGTGGCAATAATTAAACAAATGGCAGAAAAAGATGAAGTAGAGCCCGGGATATTAAAACCGGGCAATGCTCAGCAATTAAATATAGGGTATTGGTAAGACCCCCTTGTCAACCAATATGCTTAAAATAAAATGTGAAACAGAATTAGTGATGTGGCCTGTGACAGTTTCAAAACACTCTGGAGAAAAAGCTAATGAGAACTCACACATGCAGAACTGGTTAGACCAGTGTTTCAAACTGTGGTCGATGGAATCCCACTGGAGATGTTGGGTCAGTAGAGGTGCTGGTCATTTCACTGGTCAAATTTGGGGGCTGTCAAAAGTCTGAACAGTAACCATGAGTGAGAACCAGGATTAGGGGAAAGGTGGTGGGGGGGGGGAGGGGGGGGGGAGATGTTGAGGTAGCAGGAGTCTCCTAAATCAGTTCTTCCTACAGTGGATGCTATGGTCCCCTTGAGGGGTGCTGTGGTAGCTGAGGGAAGAAGTAGCATCGTCTGTTTGACTTGAAGGCTGGTGGTACAGTCCAGAGGGCGGTAGGAGCCCAAGGTGCAGCTAAGGGCAATGACTAAACTTAGGGCAGCAGTGGAGACATATAAAAGTAGAGAACTGGAGATAAAAATTATCATTCACTATCCTGGGTGAATTGATACATGACAAGTCAGATGTGGTCAAGGCCCTTTGGGAACAAGCATCGGAATCAGTAGAGAAAGAAGATTAATTACGGCCTGGAGAGAATGAGGCACCTAGGTGTAACCAGAGGGTCTGGCCGGCTCACTACACTCAGAGGAAAGGCAAGACGGACATAAAACCAGATTGTGACTAGTACCATTAGTATCAGAACTTTGCGCTGGCTGCTGAAGATACGGATGGAGCATGCATGGAAATGCCCCGAGTGCTGTGATGTTAGTTCTTGACTCAATTCAACTCATTATCCCGGGTGAAGCCCAGCAAAGTATAAAAATAGGAAATAATAATACCGCCTTTACATACTTTCAATATCTCGACAAGCTACAGAGGGGAGATCAACCTCAGACTATGTTATTCATACAAAAAGTACTCTTGTGGAAAACGAAAATTTCCATACTTGACAAGCACAACCCTCATGTAAGAGAATAAATTTCATAAAAGAATACATTTCTTACTAAGTTTTCCTGAGAACATGAAACTCATACTTATCAAAGAAGACAACTGCCCTAGGGGAAACAACTCCAATCAAGAGAGTTTGCCAAGCTGATTAGTAGACCCTGACATGAAAGACACATGTTCAATGGACCTTTGTCTTGCTGCATATTTTCACCCGGCTCCTGCACCTAAAGATGTCAGCCAGTTAACGCTTTTAATAAAAATGTCTGCTTTACTGGTTAGACAGATTTCTGTTTCATTTGCAAACTTATTTGACAAATTATATGGCTTGATGCTTAAATTCTATTTTGGTCTCAGAATTGTAAAGGAACCTGGCATATCAAAACTGCAAAAAGAATTGTAGGAAAAAGTAAAAGCAACTTACTCAGGGACTGGAGATGAAAGTAATGCAGTAAGAAGGGAACAGATTAGATTGTGATTTATTTGTTATTAGTTGCACTCAAAAATAAATGAACATAAGCCATTGCCTATAGTCATAGCAAAGGCTAATTTGTCTTAGCCAGAAAGGTCCATTAACTCTTTCAATTGCAATTTTGCAGCAAATAATGAAGCAGAGTGGGGGAAGGAAAGGGATATGACATAGAGTGAGTTATAAAGGGTGAGAAAGAGGGGAGAAGAAGAAAAGACAGAGAGAGGGAGATTGTGAAGGAGTAAGATAAAGAGAGTATGAACAATAAAAAAAAAACTTTATTTTCAAGAGGTTAGGAATTGGTCATGCAGTTCTGACAGACATGTGAGGGAGAGAAGGGGAGGGAGTGAGAGAGAGAGAGAGAAAGAGAGAGAGAAAGAGAGAGAGAGAGAGACATACAGACGGCAACAGAGAGAAGAATAATCACTCATAAATATTATGAGTGTATGACTGTGAAAGAGGCTAAGTGGAGAGTCATTCATTGATTAATGAACGTGAAAGAGAGAGAGAGTGACAGAGAGAGAGGGAGAGAGAGAGAGTGAGAGAGAGAAAGAGAGAGTAAGAGAGAGAGAGAGTGTGAGAGAGAGAGACATACAGATGGCGACAGAGAGAAGAATAATCACTCAGAAATATTATGAGTGTATGACTGGGAAAGAGGCTAAGTGCAGAGTCATTCATTGATTAATGAACGTGAGAGAGAGAGAGAGAGAGAGAGAGAGAGAGAGAGAGAGAGAGAGAGAGAGAGAGAGAGAGAGAGAGAGAGGGAGAGAGAGAGAGAGAAAGAGAAAGAGGGAGAGAGAGAGAGAAATAGAGAGAAAGAGAGAGGGAGAGAGAGACATACAGACGGCGACAGAGAGAAGAGGAGAGAGAAGAACAATCACTCAGAAATATTATGAGTGCATGACTGTGACTAAGTGCAGAGTCATTCATTGATTCATGAACGTGAGAGAGAGAGAGTGAGAGAGAGAGAGAAAGAGAGAGAGAGGGGGAGAGAAAGAGAGAGAGAGAAAGAGAAAGAGAGAGAGGGGGAGAGAGAGAGAGAGGGGGAGAAAGAAAAACTATCACTAAGAATTATTACAAGTGCATATTTTTCAAAGAGACTAACAGCACAGTTATTCAAATGTTGCTGGGGTACATAAAAGATTCATTGTAACCAGCCATGCATTTCATAAAGAGTTGACCAAAGGAGACAATCTACATTCTTTGGTCACATCATTAGAAGGAGAAAAACTGGAGTACATTGAGATGGTGGACAAGTTAGCAGGGAAGAGAGACAGAAGCAGACTAAGAGAGATGCTAGACAGTCTGACATCCTGGCATGGATGATTATTTGTGTCTAAAATAACTAAAGGTAAACAAGACAGAAGGCTGTGGCAGACATGGTTACTGCCCCGTGGCAACTATAAGAAAAAGATGGAGCTGAAATTGTTTACGTTTATTCGATGGATCAACATCGTGGTACACGGGTGTAACCCAAAAGTACTCCGTTCTTCATCAAACTCAAGCCTGAGTCTGAAGAATCTCAATGCAGTGCATCAACTTTGTTGCACCGGAGAGGATCCTGAAATACTTTAGGTAGTTTTTTAACTCACAATTTTACCTGTGCAGTGCTGTTAGGCTACTTTTTTCGATTTCCAACTGCCAAGGGATTTTCTTACATGCGCAAGAATACACATGGGCATTCGGATTTACTACCCAGAGACCAGGGGATAACACTACTAACCATATCAGTTCTGCAACTAACCCACCAACCTATCCCCCAAAAATTAACCATCTGTTGAACTATGCTGGTAACAAAAAATACAAATGCATAGTTATCTGATGGTGCATTTTTATTAGTTGATGGAAAAGCCTGTTAACCTAAACCTATGGAGGACTCAGGTGCAAAAGAACTGTAAATTTTTTTATTGAACCTTAAGATACTCTTGTGTGCTTCTTCTTCTTCTCTTCCACCTTGTACCTCATCGAAGTGTCGACGTATATTGATTGTCCCTAAGCTGGTCTTAACCTTCTGCTGGCCTCTTTTTTCTCTAATTCTACAACATCTCCTATTTTCATCTTGGGCATTTTTTTTTTTTGAACTGCTGAATCCTCCGCCGACTTGCCAGGCCTGTAGCAAATTCATCTTCAACTGAACAACTACACTAATCTAACACATTTAACATTATTTCCAGGAATAAACACATCTTTTAGTCACAATTTTTGGCAAACATTGTTTACGCCCCACATCATGTTACATAAGAAAATATGCAGTCAATACAGGCCCAGTTAGCCAACCACTTAACCAAGCATACCAGGAAACCAACTACCCAAACAAGCAACCCAGGTAGCCAACTACAGAATCAAGCAATTCAGTCACCTAACCAAGCAACCAAGGCAACAAATACCCAGCCAAGCAACCCCGATAGCCAATGACCCAACCAAGTAATCGAGCCAGCCAACCAAGCAATCCAGCCAGCCAACCAAGCAATCCAGCCAGCCAACCAAGCAATCCAGTCAGCCAACCAAGCAATCCAGTCAGCCAACCAAGCAATCCAGCCAGCCAACCAAGCAATCCAGCCAGCCAGCCAACCACTCAATCAGATAGCCCGGGCAGCCACAATTGACAAAAACAGGCTGAAATACAACTTCTTCAATAAACTAAAGGCAGGAGATAATTATAAGTACATCTGTGGAACAGGTAATTGGATGGCTTTACATTTTCCTGCATGAATTGCAAACATAGTAAGGAGACATAAAGGAGACAAAAACTGCTCGCCTCAAACAAACAAAAAACCATTGGTACATTCACTACAAGTATTCAGGTTGGGCTATAAATGTTAATGAAGAAGAGAAAGAGAAGGAAAAAAAAGCATAAGAAAGAGCGGGAAAAAAAGAAGATCAGGAAGAGGTGGAAAAGGAGGAGGAAGAGGAAGAAGAAGAAGAAAAGGAAGAGGAGAAGAAGGAAAGAAGAAGAAGAAGATGAGAAGGAGGAGAAGGGGAGGGGGGAGGAGGAGGGGGGAGGAGGAGGGGGTAGGAGGAGGAGAATAATAATAATAATAATAATAATAAGAAGAAGAAGAAGAAGAAGAAGAAGAAGAAGAAGAGTCAGGAAATAAAATGAGGAAGAAAAAGCAACATAAATATCTAAAAAACATCACAATAAAAAAAAAATACAACATGGAAGCAACAAGATAACAAAGGACATGGCAAGGTCACAGACAACTGCTCAGCAACACGTGATAGAAAACAGTACACAAAAATAAAGACCCCAAAAAAAATGACAGTGGCTGCAAATAGAATTACAGCTGGGAATTGGCAAACACGGGATGGGAAATTTAAATTTGCACTCCGATAATTCTCACGCCATTTACAAAAAAATGAATTTAACTCTTACATCTCCCCAGCGTCCCACGGCATCGTTGATGTCATTACGGCCCAGAGAGAGGTCAACGATACACTTGTTGACAGCCTTGCTGCTACGCTCTGGGGTTAAGTCCTCTTCGGCAATTTTCACCCAGCCTAATGATCGAACTGCAAAGCGAACAATCTTCTCAGAGTTTGTGCCCAGGGATGAGGTCAGCTGTTTCTCAGGGAATGTTGATCTGAAATACATGAAAATGTTCACAGAAAGGCTACTATGGTAAACTATATGGAACTAAATTATTGACAAGCAATTATCATAATCATATTCGTTTTCTTTCTTTTTTTTTTCACCTGAAACTGATTATCTATATCTGCAATGTTGTCTCTAGTATGAACTTCTCTGTCCTTTGTAATTCACTCAGCAACCCGTGTCCACCGGTGTTTCTCTTGGCCAAAAGTGTTGCCTTGATATGTTGTATCTGGGACAGTCTTGGAGGATGTGATCTATTGCCTCAGCTGCCAATCCACAAGTGCACATGACTGATTCTCCAATCTCAAATTGTGTGTACATGTGGCTGTAAAGCAGTTTTATCCTGTGTTCTGCCTTTAAGTTTAAATAGTCGTGTTTTACCATCTCACATGATCACCAGAATCACGGATCAGGTCAGTGCCCTTGTTTTGCCCCATTAAAATGTCAAAGCCATCCACAGCTATTTGACTTTCCCTTGCTCTTTTTCCCATTAATCTAGCCAGCTGTGATAACTCTTTCAGTCCATTCCTTCTTGTAACATGTCTCCTCAAAAATCCCCAAAGACTTAGTCGAGGTTTCAATTTCACTGCAATCCAGTTTCCCATATTTGCTCCATTCCTGTGCCAGTGTACATCAAGTGAAATGTCTCCCACTGCCACATTTGAAAAACTGGTGAACACACAATAAGTCTGGAACCATCCAGAAATATGCGCATGCAATAAATGCATATGGCGTTGCTAGAGACGCCAAAGCGAACAGCTGCCACAATCAATACAGTCTGTGGTTAATGGAAGTAGTCAGACACAGTAAGTTGGCTATACACACGTAGAACCACCATATAAGGTATTTCACCAGCTCACATGTATACAGGCTACTGGCCATATTGAATAACATGAGACAACCACTGTACAAATGACAGTCTATGTCTAACTAATTTTTCTAAACAGTCTGCGGTTTTTGTCTGCCTTGAGGAGCGCTGCCTTATTTGTTATTTCTATCATTTCATGATATCTGAAGTTTTTGTGTCCAGGCACAATCATGTTGAGTCTCATAGAGCTGAAAACAATACAGCTCTGGGAATAATGTGTTGTATTAAAAACAATGTTTTCCACGGCATACTGGGCATATAGGGCTAGACCTATATTTTACACTCACTTGGTGAGTGATGTGATCCGCATCATGCCGGCCACCATTACTTGAAGGAACTTTACCTGGTATCCATTTAAGGTTGGGTAGACCTGAGAGCCAAGGTCATAGAATTGAAAAAAACAAAACAGTTCAGCACTGTTCGGGTCTGAATCCACAACCCTTTGATCCACAGGTGAGCATCTAGCTGCTACGTCATGGCGGAGAAAATGTAGAAGGGGATGAAATGAAAGAAGGGTAGGTATAGAAAAAGTAAAAGAAAGATGGAAATAGTGTAGAAGAGGTGGAGAAAGGAGGTAGAAGAGGTGAAGAAAGAATGAGAAGATGCAGAAGAGGTGGAGAAGGAAGGAGAAGATGTAGAAGAGGTAGAGAAGGAAAGAGATGATGCAGAAGAGGTAAAAGAAAGAAGGAAATTGTGTAGAAGAGGTGGAGAAAGAATGAGTGTGGCGTGTCCTCCACAGCTGAAAAACATGTATGGCTGGAGTTATGCCTATAATGGCGTTGGCCATGTTTGTATTTTTCCTATGTGTGGAAACATATGGGACACCCATTTCAATTTTTCTTTTTATCTTCTTTATTATTATTATTTGTTATCATGTTTATGTTTACACACATAGGAAAAAAAAATATGACCAACGCTATTACAAGCATAACTCCAGCCATATGTGTTCTTTGGCTAAGGAAAACATACAAACTGAAATTTGTTTTCAAAACAATTGTAGTCATGCAAATAATACTAGTGGGGGAGAGAGAAAGAGAGCGCGAAAGACAGAAGGAGACAAATACTGAAAGAGGGACATGTAGGTGGGCAGATGAAGAGAGGAGGAAGAAGGGACTGAAACAGAGAGAGACAAGGAGCGTATGTAAATAAAAAGGTTTTCATTAAAAAAAAATATATATATATATACATTTTTTTTTATGCATGAAAACTTAAGGTGTACACTTTCTTCAAGTAACTAGCCAATGAGACTCAATCCTTACAATGACTGCAAAGATTTCGCTGCATACTGCAGTGCATGTCCTTCGAACTCTGCCAACAACCGCTCAGTGCTAGATCGCATGCTGTTAGGCGTGGAAGGCAGCGATCCTGAATCCTGGGAACATTCAAGAGAAGATAATGAAAGCTAAATATGACAGTGGTATGTCGACAAAGTTATAATACTAAACAAGGTGGCTGTATATTGAACTAACTGGAAGGTCTTATCCCTAGAAATTAGAATACACAGTTTAAGTTTAGGTTATGTTTAGACGACGGATCAACATCATGGCACAAGGGTAGTAACCCATAAGTGCTCCATTCTACTTCTGACTCAAGCCTGAAGAAGAAACTCAGCGCAGGGCAAGAACTCTGTAGTACCGGCGAGGATGCTGAAATACTTCTGCCATTTCTTAAACTCAAAATTTTGTCCGGGCGACGCGCCATTAGACTACTCTTTTTCTTTTTCCAACTGCTAAAGGATATTTTATGTGTGCAACAATACACATGGGCGTCAGATCTTACTACCCAGAGACCAGGGAAAATGACTAGACATCCGCATACAAAATCTTAGCCTTCACCGGGGCTTGAACCCAGGATCTCCATGCACTCAAGGCGGGTGCATTGCCTCGAGACTACGTAGCCTCCTCAAAGGATACACAGTAATACAGAATACACAGTAACTATCCCAAATCGTTTTCTTTAAACCTGAAACATGGAGACTGTTTTGGAAATCATTTAACATGAGCCGCTATGCGGGCTGATTATTTTTATAGCCTATCCTGCACACAATAAAATATGTGGTACAATGAAAAGTGTGATGTGGTTAACAGCTAGGCTGTGATATCTGCACATATCAGCCAAACAGAGCAACATGAAACAAACTCTTAATTAGTCACACTCAATGTCATCCTTGTTTCAGACAATGGGTCCATTACTTATATGTCCCCCCCCCCCCCCACCCCTCCAAGCTGGGACCTTGGAAGCCTAACTGGATTTATTTATAAGTTTAGTTTCTTGTAGCTCACAGTGTTATTTTAAATGCTTCACGCTAGCCCGGCTCGCTAGGGTAGCTGGTTAAACCTGACTTCGCGGCGACCATGTGATGAACTCCTTGTGGTCCGGGTTCATGCCCGGAGGTAGGCAGAAAAGCCACATTTCTCCCAGATTTATGGTTTTTATCGTTGAATTAAGGCCAGAGGGTTGCGATATCCATAGTACCGAGCCAAAGGGTTGGCAACTCATGGTTTCTGGATATTTAAAGAAAAAAAAATGCTTTACGCTGGACGACTGCATAAAACTATTATTTCACAAAACTTTAAAAGAAAAAAATGACTTAAAGTAATGATATGTTAGTACTGATAAAGTTAACATCATCATCATCATCATCATCATAGTCACATAACACCAAGCGTCATTCAATCCCTCTTTTGTCGTTGACTGATTAGACTCCTTCACCTCTGACGGTCAAGATAACTGACAGTCAAGATATCTGACGGTCAAGATGTCAATTTGACAGTCAAGATATCTGACTGTCAAGATATCTGATGGTCAAGATACCCGATGATCAAGATATCTGACGGTCAAGATACACCGAACCTAATGTTTCCATTGCCTGTGTGGGTTTCGGGACCCCGTTGTGGGGGAAAACAATAGAGCCCCACCCCACCATCCCCATCCTTTCACCAACAAGCATATAGTAATATAATGTTAATAATGGGGTGTTTCCTTTCAAGTCAGAGTGCACCTGTCTAAAGTATGAGGAAACAAGTCTGCATACAAATCAGCCAGATCTGTAAAACTGATGTATAAGCAAAACTCAAGATTTGACCAGAGTCAAGAAGTGGATGCCGGCATGAAATGGAGCAGGGTGGAAGGTATGGGGATGGGGTGGGGGTGGGAGTGAGGGGTGCCGCTAGGCGGACTCAGTCTAAAATGGTACCAGGAAATGTCCAGGGAAGAAAATGTCACCGGCATGATGCTAGACAAAATCACCCTTCGAGTGCTGGCTGATTAAATGGGCCCTTTTACTCACATAAACGAGTCTGACCATCTCATTTAAAGCTTGCAACTAGCTAATCGCCATTACACATAGCAATAAGGTAGGATGAACAGTCACACCCATCTTCTTTGGAAAACAAGATCAAGGCACTGGAAGAGAACTACAAAGACGACCCTTGCAAACTAGCTAATCCCCATTACATTTAGCAATAAGTGGTTTGGGGGGGGGGGGGGGGGGGGGTGAACAGTCCCAATCTTCTTCTTCTTTGGAAAACAAGATCAACACAATGGACCAGAACTACAAAGAAGATCCTGCAGTTCTGTGACTCGCCAAATGAAACATCATATTATAGTCTATTCCAAAAGTCGTGTGTCCTCTGCCCTCAAACATCTCGAAAACTGTATGCATTAACATGAATTTTTCCATGTGGCCTTGGATTTCATAGGTCCTTATGTTTTTCTAATTTACAATTGCGCAGGTGCTACTGTTTTTTTGAAGAGGCAAATTTCTTTGATCTGTGTCAGGGCTAATAATTGTGACCTCCTTAAAAAAAAAAAAAAAAAGAATAACGAGTAATTGACACATATTGTTTACTTTAAACCACAAGAGTGGAGACTGTTTTAGAAATCATTTCTTGTTATTATTTTGATAGCCCATCCTGCATTCAATGAAATGTTGCGTTTAACTCTTGGGAAGGTTAATGTAGAAAACTGACAACTTGAAAGGAAAATACCAATGAACTGAGTTTCACTTATGTAAATGAGAGTGTGACACTACATTCACTATTCAAAATAAGTACGCCTGGTTTTTTGTGTGCAAGGATTACCTCTAAAACACGTGCAATTTGATGTTTTTCCAAGTTTGC